GTCGTCGGGCGTCGGTGGGCGTCGTCGTTGCAGGCGTTGGTCGCCGGCGCGGCCGTCCTCGTCGTCGGCGTCGGCGTCGGCGTCGTCGTCGTCGTCGGCGTCGTCGGGTGTCGTCCGTCGTCCGTCGTCCGTCGTCCATCGTCGTCGTTGCCGGAGGAGGAGGAGGAGGAGGAGGAGGAGGAGGAGGAGGAGGAGGAGCAGGAGGGAGGAGGAGGAGGAGGAGGAGGAGGAGGAGGAGGAGGAGGAGGAGGAGGAGGAGGAGGAGGAGGAGGAGGAGGAGGAGGAGAGGAGGAGGAGGAGGAGGGGGAGGAGGAGAAGCGGGATGGAGGAAGGGGGTAGGAGGAGCGGAAGACCTGGGGTCCCCTCAGCTCTCCGCTCTGGCGCCTCTCTTGAGTATCCTTCAGCTTCTCTCCCGCCTCCTTGATCGGAGGTTGATCGACCTCCTACCCTGACACGTGGATTAGCGAATTGGCCGTTTTCGATTCGCGAGGGCGTCGCGGCCGACATTTTTGCGGGTCCAGGTGCGTCGGTGTCGGTCTTATGCCGTTTTCACTAAAGGGAGGGTAACTAAAGGGAGGTTTGTCCACCGCCGGCTTGACCACCAGATCTTCGGATCCCTAATCCGTGTTAGCAAGCAAGCAAGCAAGCAAGCAAGCAAGCAAGCAAGCAAGCAAGCAAGACACCGTACACGTCAGAGGCGCGTTGGCGATAGGGTCTACGCAACGGAGATGATTGGGTGAAACAGCGAGGGTGCTCAGCATGGCAACGGCAGGACGAACAAGAAGAGGATACTCAGCAGTTCTTGCTCAGGAGCCCAGGTGATCTTCGCGAGACCCGCCGCGCCGTGCCCCCCCCTCGCTGACAGCGGCCCGAGACCCACAGCCTGCCCAGGGTGCTGCGCATTTTGCCATCGGGGGCCTGTCGCCGAATTGTCGACGACGTGTCGCCGATCCCTGCGCGATGCCTGCCGTCCTGCGCCAGCCCCCCCCCCCCCCGAGAGTTGCGCCTCAAAGGACGACATCCGTCCCTCTTGGCGGCCGCGGGGGGTGCTGCGGACTGCGGGCCGTGGCCCCCCCCCCTTCCCGTTCCCTTTCCTGTGCACGCCGTGTCCTCGCTCTGTTTTTCCTCCGTCTCTGCCCCATCCTCCTTCTCCTCCTCCTCCTCCTCCTCCTCCTCCTCCTCCTCCTCCTCCTCCTCCTCCATCTCCATCTCCTCCTTCTCCTCCTCCTCCTCCTCCTCCTCCTTCTCCTCCTCCTCCTCCTCCTCCTCCTCCCTCCGTGTGTTCAACACGAGCGGCCGATGCCAATACAGCACGCCCTTCTCATGAGCAGTTTGGCTGCTCACGGTCTCGCCCTGCCCGCCCGCCGTCCGGACGCGAGGTTTCTGCATGGAATTGAACGGAACTGCCCCATCCTCGTGCAGACTACGAACATCCAGCCGCATCTCTGACTGACCGAGCGACGCGGAGGCTCAGACACAGGAGGTATTGAATCCTACCGGAGCCCCCACCCCGCTCGTCCCCCGGTTCGACGACTGCGACGACGACGTCGACGACAACCACGGACGATTGCGCCTGGAGCTGCGTGCGGCAAGTCCCGCAACCGTGTCATCCCAGCATTCTGGTTAGCTGTTCGAGGGGGCACTGGAGGCCGTCATGTGTGACACCTCGAGGTTTCATTCTTAGGAGGTCTGTGACGAGTACGATGGGGATAATGCGGATGATAGGGGGTGGTCACGATGATGATGCTGCTGTTGCTGATGATGATGCTGCTACCGACGACGACGATGATGACGATAATGATTATGAGTTAGATGCTGCTGCTGCTCATGATGCGGATGAGGATGATGATGCTGATGATGATGACGACGACGATGCCGTCGATGATTATGATACTGATGCGGCTAATGCTGATGCGGCTGCTGCTTCTGCTGCTGCTAGGCATGATGATGATTATGATAATTATTAAGTCACTCATTCACATCATTGGCACCGATGTCCAAGCACATTCAGCTAGCAGCAAAACTGTGAAGCTCGACGCTCTAACTTAAGTCGGAGCCATGTCCGTGCTTAACGGCGGGCCTCAAGAACCCACCACCCGCGGTGGTCTCGCAGCCGACGGGCCCGAGGAGGCCCCAGCCTGAAACCCACGACCCTTGACGTGTAGAGAAGTCGAGGGGATCACACCAGTAAACGGGACGATCACGTGTGAGGCACGACCGAATGAGGGCTACGGCGCGCGGTGAGCGCGCTTTGGAGCCCGCATCGAAAGGCTCGAAAAGAGGAAGGGGACCTCCTCATCTTACCTTCTCCCCCATGGTACGTGTGGCGGCGGTGGTGGGAAATCTGCCCCTCCGGAGACGCGGGGCAGATGGCAGCGTGCGCGCGGGCGGGCCTGGCGGGACGAGGAGGGCACGCCTGGGCGGGGCAGAGAGCGCCGAGGGGGCCGGCGAGCCGCCGCCTCCTTCGTCCGCCGCACCTCCCCGTCCCCCCCTCCGCTGGCTCCTCGTTCGCCCTGCCTCTCCTTCCCCAGACCGCCCTCGCGCGCGATGCTTCGGCCTCCGATGGGGCCCTTCCCGGGCCTCGGACCGTCCAAGATTCGATTCGGGATGGGGGCCTGGGACACACAAATAAAGACACACGAATAAAAAGATGCCCCATATTTTCCCATATTTTCTTGGTTTTTTTCTTCCCCACCACTTCCCATATTTTCCCATATTTTCTGGGGGATCGACGATTAATTGTGTCTGTGTGTTTCTTTCCCTCCTGATCCTGGGGAAGGGGTCCAGACCTCGGGGGGTCGACGTTGTGAGAAAGAAGACGATGTCGGGGGTCTTGGACCCGTCTCTCGCCTGATCACGCATGCTCCCCCATTCCTCCTGCTCGTCCTTCCCTCCCTCCTGATCCGCCGCGTCCGTCTCCTCCGCCGCCGCCGCCGCCGTTCCCTACTCCGACTTTCAACACCTCGCGGGTGTCATGGCGCTCCACGTTGCAAGCTTCATTGGGGGAGCAACTGGCAGTGGGGTGCTAGGGATCGAATCGGCGCCTTGATGGTGATGGTGATGGTCATGATGGTGGTGATTGTAATGGTGATGGTAATGATGATGGTGGTGGTGGTGATAATGGTGATGACGATGAGTCGTATTTTCATGGTGATGACGAGGATCGTGAGAAGGAGGATTATGCTGATGACGGTGATGTGGATGATGGGGATGGTGATAATGATGATACGGATGATACTCACGATGCTGATGTTGCTGATGATGGCGATGGATATGATGGTGAGCGTGGTGAGTATGATGCAGATGTGGATGATGCTGATGATGCAAATGATAAGAATGATGATACGGATGGCGATGATGATGATGGTGATGATGCTGCTGCTGATGATGATGCTGATGGTGATGATGATGCTGATGATGCTGATCGTGATCCTCCTCTTGCCCTTCCCCTCCTCTGCCCAAGCTCCTCCTCCGCCTGCTCCCCCCTCCCCCGCTGGCCGCCCGCCGACACCCCGCCGCGCCGAGAGGTGGCTGGAGGCGGCCTACGGCCACATGGTCGCGATCCGCAACCTGGCGAAGGTCCATGAGCCCGCGCGACGCCTCCGGGGCACCTGGTGCGAGCGAGCGGCACGTGCACGGAGCGAAGAAAATGGAAAAGAACAGGAAGAACACTAACAAGAAGACGACGAATAATTATAAGACTAAGAAGAGCAACGATATTATTAATAATAATAATAAGAAGAAGAAGAAGCATAAGTATAAACGCCGTAGACAGAAACAGCTGGCGCTCCGCACGGGTCTCTTGGATCGGCGCCTGGCCCCCCCCCCGGTGGAGCGCGCCAAGCGGGGGGCCCAGCGCAGATCCAAGAAGCCCGCGCGGAGCGCCCAACGCTTGTGTTCATGTCGATTTGTCAGGCGATCGCAAACATGGATCCGATGCATGGATGTGGCGACCGCGCGCCGAATACATGCATCGCTCATCCGCGTTTGCGCGCCCCCGATGTTTCTCGTTCTGTCAGAGGAAGCTCTGGTGGCGATGCCGCGACCTCGGGTTTTCCCTTCCTTTCGCATGTGGGGGGTCCCTGGAAGGCCCACGCCGCCACCCGTGGAGCCGCTGCTCCATTCTGGTCACAACGCCCCCCCGGAGAGGCCTCGGGAGCAGCGGTGTCGGTGCCGTGCTGTTCCCCCACGGGCCATTGACGGGGCCTTGTGGGCACCTGATGGGCGGACGACTGGGGGCAATAGTTGCTCCATGGGGGTGACTGGAGGACACGTGGGGGGGAAGGGAGAAGGAGGAGGGGATCCACTCCCTCGTGTCCTTTCTCCTCGTCTGTCCCCTCCCTGCCCTCCCCATTTTGTCGTTCCTCCGTTTCGTCGTCGTCGTTGTCGTCGTCATTATTCGTCGCCCGTTTTGTGTTTCGTTCTCGCTATCGTCGTGCTCCTCCTTCTCCTTGCTCCCCCGCCCTCCCTCCCAAACGCTCGTCACTTCTCTCCCTTCTCCATGTTCCTTCTCGTCTGCTCCCCCCAAACGCTCCGACGTCCTCTTGCTCCGCAGCATGGAACCCCTGAAAGGTCAAGATTGGACACCATCCCCGGGGGGCGTCCGGGGAGGGCCCCCGGAGGCCGCACTCTTGCCCAGCAGGCCGTGCCACCCGAGGAGGTCTGGGTTCTCCGACGTCGGGGGGGCGCACCACCGTCTGTCGTGAAGTCGGGCCTGTCCCCCTACAGGGGGATCTTTCGACGAAGACAACATGCCCAAAAAGTCCTCCGAAAAGGGAAACAGATCCTGAAAAACTAGTCCCCGCAGAATTGTTTGACTATTGCTTGATCATGTTTAGGGTATTTTTCATTTCTCGTCGGCGCTCCCCCCATGTAGGGGGGCAGGCCCGACTTGTAAGTCCAGCGGCGGCGCTCGCGGGGAGTCGGCGGCGTGGGCCCTCCGACGCGCCCCCGCGGAGGCCTCGCAGCTGCGCTTCTGCATGGGCCAGCAGGGCTGGCCCATGAAGGTTGGCGCGCTGCACGCCTACGCGGAGAGGTGGCTCGGCCGCGAGGCGCTGTCCTCGTCGCAGTCGTCGCCCTCCTCGCCATCGCCGCCGACGTCGTCGTCGTCGCTGTCGTCGTCAAAAGCAGAGGAGGAATGGATGGAAGAAAAAGAAACGCCACAGACAGAAACGTCAAGCGCTCCTCGTGAATTTCTTGGATCCGCGCTGGACCCCGCTGGCGGCGCCTCTGGCGCCGTCCCTGGCGCGCTCCGCGAGCCAAGGGGGGGGGTCCAGCGCGGATCCAAGAAATCCGCGCGGAGCGCCAAAGTTTTCATAATTGTGTTTGTATGACAGGTTTCTCTCTTCTTGTAATAGATACGGATACCGCTGCCGCGCCCTCGTCGCCACGGCTGCCTCCGCCCCGAAGTTTCAGTCGGGCTGCACCCCTGGAGAGATCCCGGATCGGAGGTGGATAGATCTCCTACCCAGACACGTCGATTGAGGATTTGGCCGTTTTCGGTTCGCGAGAGGGGGCGTTGTGGCCGTCATTTTTGCGGGTCCAGGTCTGTCAGTTTCGGTCCTAGGCCGTTTCACTAAAGAGAGGTTTGCTAAAGGGAGGTTTGTCCACCGCCGTTAGCCGCAGTGGCTGGCATTGCGTTTGTGGTTGTGGCAACAGTCGTGGCCGTGTCCGCGTCCGTGGAGTGGGCAGCAGAGCTCCCGCATGGGTAGGCCCACGACTTCTCAACCACGCGCTTACACCCTGAGTGCTTCTCCGCGGAGTTCCGCACACAAGTGACGCGGTTCCCTTTCACAACCGAAACGCGCATCGTACGTTGGCGGGGCTGGGAATGGCTTGTTTCGCCGACTGCTGGGGCCCCAATACAGCTTTGTACCGCCCCCTCCGGTCGAGGGCCCGTGTCCTCGTTTCCGTCCTCGTCGTCTGCGCACCCGCCTCGCCGTGGCCCCCCCTCGGCGCCGCGGTCCTCCCCGCCGTCGTCGCGAGTGCGCGCGGCCGTGCTCGCGGCCGCCCTCCTCCTCCCGGGGGGGAGGAGGATGATGATGATGAGGAGGAGGAGGAGGAGGAGGAGGAGGAGGAGGAGGAGGAGGAGGAGGAGGAGGAGGAGGGAGGAGGAGGAGGAGGAGGAAGGAGGGAGGAGGGAGGAGGTAGGAGGGCAGGAGGAGGAGGAGGAGGAGGAGCAGGGGAGGAGCAGGAGGAGGAGGAGGAGGAGGAGGAGGCGGAGGAGAAGGGGGTGGAGGGAGGAGGGAGGAGGGGGAGGGAGGAGGAGGGAGGAGGGAGGAGGGAGGAGGGAGGAGGAAGGAGGAGGAGGAGGAGGAGGATGGAGGAGAAGGAGGGGGAGGAGGAGTAGGAGTAGGAGTAGGAGTAGGAGGAGGAGGAGGAGAGGAGGAGGAGGAGGAGGAGGAGGAGGAGGAGGAGGAGGAGGAGGAGGAGGGGAGGGGGAGGGGGAGGGGGGGAGGAGGAGGAGGAGGGAGGGAGGGAGGAGGGAGGAGGAGGAGGGAGGATGGGAGGAGGGAGGAGGGAGGAGGGAGGAGGAGGAGGGAGGAGGGAGGAGGGAGGAGGAGGAGGAGGAGGAGGAGGAGGAGGAGAGAGGAGGAGGAGGAGGAGGAGGAGGAGGAGAGGAGGAGATGAGGAGGAGGAGGGGGAGGGGGAGGGGAGGGGGATGAGGAGGGGAGGAGGGAGGAGGGAGGAGGAGGAGGGAGGAGGGAGGAGAGGAGGAGGGAGGAGGGAGGAGGAGGAGGGGGAGGAGGGAGGAGGGAGGAGGGAGGAGGGAGGAGGGAGGAGGGAGGAGGAGGAGGGGAGGATGAGGAGGAGGAGGCGGAGGAGGAGGAGGAGGGAGGGAAGGAGGGGGAGGAGGAGGAGGGGAGGGAGGGAGAAGGAGGAGGAGGAGGAGGAGGGAGGAGGAGGAGGAGGAGGAGGAGGAGGAGGGCGTCTTCGCGCTTGGGAGGAGGGCGTTTTTGCCCTTGCGGGCCTTCTCCTGGACCCTCGTCGACAAGGCCGGGTTACTCCTCGGAGACCCCGCGCTCCTCGGACGGGTCTGGGAACGGGGGAGCAGAGACTGGGGGGGAGGGAGGGGAGGAGGTTGCAGGAGGAGAGGGAGCAGGGAGGGAGGGAGGGAGGAGGACGAAGGAGGGAGGGAGGGAAGGAGGCGGACGAGGTGGGGACGGAGAGGAGAGGAGGAGCCGTTGTGCCATTATCGGCATTCTCGTGTTGCTGATGTCCTTCCGCCTGCCTATCTCTTTCCTCCCTCCCCTTTCCTCCACATCATGCCCTTCCGCGTGTTCTTCTCTTTCTCCTTGCTCTGCTTTCCCGATCCCGCTGTTCTCCCAGCCGCCGCAGCACCGATCCGCGAGCGAGAGTCCCGGGGACATTGAGCGATCGAGGATCCTGGCGGGCACACGGCGTGGTGACCACACCGCGTGGTGAGTCGTTGGGAATTCGGGGGCCATCGCAAGTTCTGGCACTCGGGGGCTCAGGCCATTCTCCCAGGGCGCCACGGGGAACCGGGGCTTCCAGTGCCTCCTCCTCCTCCTCCTCCTCCTCCTCCTCCTCCTCCACAGACAGTGTGTTGACGGACCGTGCGGTGAGGCCGTCGGGGGTTCCGCGGCCACCGCGCGGTCCGTCATCCCACGCTGTGGGGCCCGACGTTCTTCATCTCCCACGGCGCCCTGGTCTGCAGGGCGGGGGGGGGGAGGAGGAGGAGGAGGAGGAGGAGGAGGAGGAGGAGGAGGAGGAGGAGGAGGAGGAGGAGGAGGAGGAGGAGACAGCGGAGTTGGAGGAGGAGAAGGAGGAGGAGGAAGTGCACCCCCTCTCCCCCATCGGGTCGGACGAATGCTTGTTTGTGCTGCTCTTTGGGAATCCTTCCCTTGGACAAGCAGGCGTCCATGGCTCTTCTGCGGCAGGGTTCTCGCTTGCCACGGGGTAGCTCCTGGGGGCGTCGTGCGCAGACGCCGAGCACCAGCGGTACCGGTGCCGACGCGCAGGTGTCTTGGCATCGCTCGGACGTGTGCGCTTTTCCTTTGGCGGGGACCATCGAGGAGCATCCCTGATCCTCTGGCGAAAAAAAAACACGCACGAGCGAATGGACGTCCGAGCGATGGCCAGGTGTGGAACGACGCGCGGCTGGCACGTGGCGCCAAGGACGGCACGTTGGGCGAGGGCCAGGCTGCGGAACTTGCTGCATAGGGCGGGCGTCGGCCTCGCCGCCGGGCGTCTTCCTTGGCACCCCGGCGCCTCCGGCTCCGCGAGGCCATCGGGAGAACCAGTTGCCCATCGGTCGTGGAGGGCAGGATTATTGGCAGTCCCAGAGTCCAGTCTGCTTTGAGCGCCTTTCTGCTTCAGTGATCGAGCGGTTTTTCCCCTCTTCCGTCCTCTTTTCGGGGCGTCTTCCTTGGCACCCGGGCGCCTCCGGCTCCGCGAGGCCATCGGGAGAACCAGTTGCCCATCGGTCGTTGAAATTGGGATTTATTTGTAGTCCCACATTCCAGTCTACTTTGAGCGCCTTCCTGCTTCAATGATCGAGCGGTTTTTTTCTCTCTTCCGTCCTCGTTTCGGGGCGGACGGACACCCAATATACTTTCAACGCCTTCCTACTTAATGCTTCTACCTACCTCTTCCGACCGATGGGGTCAGCCCGCATAGCACAGATGGGCAGTCTTCCCCATGCTACCCGTGCATCCTTGCCTCCTCGGATCCTTGGCCGCTTTCGTCGGCCGCGCCCCGCTCCAGGAGCTTCGACATCGGGAACCGAGGCCCTCGAATCCTGATCGCGCATCCTCGTGATACGGGCCGACGGTGCGTGAGCTGATTCGCTCCCCCCCCCCGTTGCTAACCCCCTCTTGCGTCGGACCCGGCCCCACCAGGGGAATCGCTGGCCTCCCCTCGCCTCCCCCCGCCCTCGGAGGCCGACGGCACCTCCCCCATGGCCGCCTACATGGGTGACAGGATCGACCACTACCAGATGATGTTCGCCCAGGACAGGAGGAGTGGAGGCGAAGGACGAAGAGCAGGGTGAGGGAGCCGATGGAGGCGCGCTGCGTCCTCAGCTTTAGGACAAGGAGAGGATGAGGATGAGGACGAGAAGGGGAAATCAGAGAGATATTTTCCGTTCGTTTCTCGTTCGTTTATTCTTGTTCCCACTCCCATCCCCATGGCCCTCCTCCCATCCTTCCTTGTTCTCCTCTCTTTCGCCCACTCTCCCCAAATTCTGCCTGATCGTAATAATTGTCCTCGTTGTCCTCGCTGCCTTCGGTCACCTACTAGTCATCTCCCTCTTTCTCTGGAGCCTCCTTTTCCTCGACCTCGGAGTCCACATGCACCTCGCTCTCCTATTTGTTCCCTTTTCCGCCATCCTGTGCCATTCGAGCCACCCAGGGCGCCACAAGCGGGCACCTCACCGAGCCCGCTGCGATTGCCGGTGCGTTCCAGGACCACGTAGGGTGGAGTGAGTGCCGAGCTGCTACAGGAGTGGCTGGACGAGGACGCGTCCCACTAGGAAGAGCAGAGCCGTGGGCACGGAGCCGTGTGCTAGATTCGCCTACGCAAGCGGCACCTTCGTGGCGCCATTGAGTCACCCAACAGTTCAGCCACTGGCCGAGATGGCATACCGTATGCGGCCTGGCGATGCCTGGAGGACGTTGCGGTGGACGTCGTGTACGATGCTTTGCATCAAATTTGTAGCGCCGACGCCCCCGCCCACATCGATGCCGACAACCCTGGCGTCAATTCCAGCATCCTAATTTTCTTCCCAAGAAGGCGGAGACGGAGACGGGCTCTTCGACCCGGGAGGAGTTCGCCCGTCAATCGCTTCGACTCTACGAATACCACCACCTTGGACAATCGGCATTTAGCGAGTGCATGCTGCTTGATGTTGGAGCCTGGGCCCGTTCGGCATCGACGACCAGCGGGGCTCTATCCAGGGCCGCTCAATGTCTCTCTCTCTCTCTTTCTTTCTCTCACCCTCAGTGTCGCTCTGTCTCTGCCTCTTTGCTTTGTTTCGCTCTCTCTCTCTCTCCCTCTCTTTCTATATATATATATATATATATACATTCCTCTCTCTATATATATACATGTGTATATATATATATATGTCTATATTCATCGTGATTGTTTCTCTCTATCTCTTTCTCTCTCTCTCTCTCTGTCTTTCTCTCTTGCTCTCTCTCTCTCTCTCTTTTGTCTCTGCTGCTTCGTCTCATTATCACTACTGTGAGTTGTCCCAAAAAATGGTCTTGGCGACCTCCGGGGGGGGGCAGACCGCCGCCCCACGTTTCTCCTGGACGCGTGGAGACTGCGGGAGGCGCCCGCGGAGGAGGAGGAGGACGGCTGAGCTATTCGGGAGGCCGGGCAGGGGCTGCTGAATCCGTGGCTGCTAGAATCGACCTCGCTCGAGATTCTCGAGGGGGGGAAGGACAGCTGAGATGCGGAGGAAGGGGAGGACAGCTGAGATGCGGAGGCCGGGCAAGGGCTGCTCGAGCCTTCTGTGGTTCCCACGAGATGTTCCTTGGAACATTTCTGGCCGGGACGGTTTTGTCTTGCCACATCGGGCTCACGTTCTAGGACCATTTCTTCTGTTCTAAGAACATCTTTGCGTTCAAAGAACACTTCGTGGTAGGACTATAGGAATGCCCGGACGGTCGGTCCCTGCTCAAAAATCCGTGGCTGCTAAAGTCGACCTCGCTCGAGATTCTCGACACGGTCTTTTGGTGCGGGCCGACTGTATCGTCGATCCGTCGCCCTGGGCTGGCCCCCCCCGATCATTCCACCTCCGTTCGGAAGCCGGGCAAGACCTGCTAAATCCGTGGCTGCTAAAATCGACCTCCGGGAAGTTGTCTTCGTCCTTCCGGGAAGAAGCCCGTCGACTGTTTCGTGTGCCGCGCCCCATTCTGGGAAGTTGTTTTTTCCTTCCGGAGGGCCGTTTTAGCAGCCACGGTCTTAGCAGCCCTCGCCCAGCTTTCGAGAGATGGTCCCAGAGGGCGTGAGGGGGGGGTCTAAACGGCCCCAGAGGGCCCCCAAGAACGCCAAATAATTGTTCACGAGAGGCTCCAGAGGTCCCCCAGAGGCCCCCAAGAGGCTCCGCAAACGGTCCCCGAAGGCAGCCGAAGGTGTCGCAAACGGCGGACGGAACCGAGGAGGGATACGGAGAGATACGAGGGCGCTGCACGAGCTAGTTTCGGGGTCTGAGATGGCCTTCCAGGGACCCCTGTGCGCGCTCAGGACGGCTCAAACGGGATCCAAAAGGGCGGCCACACGGCCCAAGGTGGGACCGAGAAGCTTTCAGAGAGGAGGAGGAGAGGAGAGGTCCTGAGAGGTCCCGAGCGGCGCCCAGAGGCGTCCAGGAGGTCCCCGTGTGGAGGCGTGCTTCAGTCCGTCTTAACCTTGCTTAATCCCGTTTAATCCCGCTTTATCCGGCTTAATCCCGCTTAAACCGAAGCCCACTTTGGCGTAACAGCCCCGCAGTGGGGCTCCATCCTCCTTCATCTTTCCGACGAAGACCCCCCCGCAGTTGCTTCCTTTCACGGGGCACCCCGCGGCGCGCTCGCGGCGCGGTGGCGGGGCGCTCCTCCGCGCCAGCGTCCGCAGGAGATGGCGCACACCGACGAGACTCGCGCGGCGGCCCTGCCCGACCGCCGGGCGCCGCGCCCTTCCCGCCGCGGGCCGGGGGCAGCGTCGGGGGCAGCGTCGCGGGGGGGTCCTGCTCGACGGCGCTGCTCAAAGCCTCGGGGAACAAACAATCAGAGGCAGCAGCATGAAATGGGGATTCCCCGCTGCAATGTCCCGGCGAAGAACCGCGGGTCACGCCCGGAGGCCGCGAGGAGGACATCCACTTCCATCCTCCTCAAAGCCTCGGGGAACAACCAATGAAGGACAGGAACTTAGCAACTCGGAGGTCCGCGCGGATTTCTCGGATCCGCGCTGGACCCCCCCGGCGGCGCCTCCGGCGCCGCCCCTGGCACGCTCCAGGGAGGGGGTCCAGCGCCGATGCGAGGAATCCGCGCGGACCTCCATGTTTCTATGCTCATGTCATTGTTCGTTCCTCTACAGTCAGCCCGCACAGTCAGGATAGGCACCCTGCACCCCTGCATCCCTTGCCTCCTTGGCCACTTTCGTTGGCCGCTCCCCGCTCGAAGAGATTCGAAGTGGCCTTCCGAGGTCTTTGCATCCCCACCGTGCGTCCTGATGATACGGGTTGACTGTAAAGTCAAGACGAAGACGAAGACATGAGGACGAGTTTAGGTTCGGAAGGGTGTCGATGTTCCCTGGGTCGTTCCATGGCTGTTCCTCTAGGCCTCCTCGTGCACGCAGGCGCTTTTGGGGCCAACGAGTGGCGTCGCTCCTCATGTATCGTTTCTTGCTTCAGCGGCCCAACTGTATGTCGAGCGTGGGGGAACGAGCAAGAACGTCTATATGAATTGTCAGGGGTACGCACGGATGTCTGGGATCTGCGCTGGAACCTCCAGGCGGCGCCTCTGGCGCCGCCCCTGGCGCGATCTGCGCGCCAGGGAAAGGGGTAGATCCGCGCGGACATCGGACATTTCATGTGTATGTCAATGCGTTTCCCCTATATTGACTCCCGTGAATGGATGATACTACGAATACCTGCTTGCTGGCTGTGGGATATTGCTCATATGGGACCCCCCGCTGTTTGGTAGCGGCGTTTTCACAGAACTTGACAGTCTACCTTTGGACGTCCAAGTTCTGGGAGGCGAAGAACACAGGAAGAGGAGGATGAGGTGGAGGAGGAGGAGGCGGAGACGGAGGAGGAGGAGGAGGAGGAGGAGGAGGAGGAGGAGGAGGAGGAGGAGGAGGAGGAGGAGGAGGAGGAGGAGGAGGAGGAGGAGGAAGAGGAGGACGAGGAGGGCCACGTTGGGGGGTGGATGGTGGCGGGTCGAGGTTTTCGCGCGGGTTCGTCGGTCGTCGGCGAAGCTCCCGCCCCGGGGTGCTCTCCAACAGCAGGCGCCTCGCCGAGCGCGCTCCGTGGGGGGGGGGCGCCCCGCTCGCCCCAGCTGGCCGCCGGAGGCCTAGCACAGAAGCCATATGTCGGGGGTGGACAGATCCCCCACCCTGTCACGTCGATTAGTGAATTGTCCGCTTTCGGTTCTCGGGAGGGCGCCGCGGCCGTCATTTCCCAGGCTTGCGTCCGCCAGGTTTTGGCCCGAGGCCGTTCTCACTAAACCATGTTTTACTAAAGGGGGTTCTGTCCATGCCCGAATATGGGCAACGTCAGAGTTAAATCGGGCGTGTCCCTCTACAGAAGGAGTGTTCAAACATAGTCAGTACATAGTGCGGGGACGATGTGCGGGCCATTTGGTCTGTCCTTTTTGCGTAGATCGTCTGCTTCTGCAACTCATTTTTCTCTCCAGAGTCCGCCTGCAGGGGGACCTGCCCGACCTCACGCTGCAGGGGGGCGGGGCAGGCTCGGCTGCGCGGTGCGTCGGCCCCCGCTCGCCCACTCCTCGCCGAGAAGGGGGCCCGAGGGCCCGCCCCGGAGCGTGCGGCGTCGCCCGCGCGGCGGCCCGCCGCCGATCCATCGGCGACGCCTCGCGGGTTCCAGGTCGACCTCCCCCCCCCTCGGAGCAGCTGGTCGGGGCTGGACAGAGCCCCCAACAGTGACACGTCGAGTCGTGAATTGTCCGTTTTCCGGCTCTCGAGAGGGCGCCGTGGCCGCCATTTTTCATGCTTTGCGCCCGCCAGGTCTGGGCCTCAGCTCGTTTTCGCTAAACCGCGTTTTACTAAAGGGGGGTCTGTCCATCCCCGAGCTGGTCCCCCCTCCCCCGCCGCCGGCGTTGCCCCTCGAGGAGGGCCCGCCCGCGTCCAAGGGGGCTCCGAGGCTCGAGCGAGGAAGCAGAGGGCCTCAAGCACATCCACTGCTGGCGCTCCGCGCGGACTTCTCGGAGGCGTGCTGGGCCCCCCCCCTTGCGGCGCCCCCGTCTCCGCCCCTGGCGCGCTCCGCGCGCCAGGGAGGGCGTGCCAGCGCGGACCCGAGAGATCCGCGCCGAGCGCCAGCAGTTTATGCTTATGGCGCTTCTGCTCTTCCGGCGTTGCAGTTTTCGCTGCCGCTGCAGTGCCTGCTCGCGCTGGAGGCCGGTCCGGTGGACCAACACTGTCTGGCTCACGTCAGGCCTACAGGCTCCGCTTGACTGATGGTTGTGCCAGAGACGAAATTCTGTTCTCGGGGGCGCGCAGGCACGGGTCACGGAGGCGCGCGGGCCCTCGGCGATCGGGGCCCCGCCGCCGTGGGACGTCGGCGCGCCTGCTCCGTCGCCAGGAGGGGGGGCGGCGCTGGCCCCGCGTTTTCGGGAGGAGGCCCTCTCCACCAGTTCGAATAGGGGATCCACTGCAGGATGGCTCTGACCCCCAACTTGACTTCCTCGTCGAGTCGACGACCGACAGAAAAGCCGTGGGTTCGACGAAAAACCCAAGTTTAGGGTACATCGATTCTGTAGTCGATCCCCTACTCGAACCATCCGAACTCCAACGTTTGGGCGGTGGCGCCCACTCGCCAGATCCACGGATCCGTAATTCCCGACAGCGTGTATCCGAGCAGGGGGCACCCGCGTCGTCGTCGTCGTCGTTCTCGGTGCCATCCTTTCTGACAGAGGTGGGGCCTCTCCCGTTCGTGGGTGTGTCCACTCCGGTTTCTCATCTGAGGGGCCCGTGTCAGAGGGCCAGCGGGGGGCGGGGATTCAGTTCCGTTCCGGTCTTCCCGGTCCGACTCGATGCTGGCTTCGGCCGGCTCGACCGGTCCGTGTCCGACAGCCTTACGGTCCGACGCGTTCGATGCTTGGCACGGCGCTGTTGTGCATCCTGGCTGATGAGCCTGTTTTCCACCATCACCACCATAAGTTGGAGGGGCAGGGGATCCTCCTCTTCTCCTTCTCCTCCTCCTCGTCCTCCTCCTTCCCCTCTCCAACTTATGGTGGTGGTGGTGGTGGTGGTGGTGGAAAACAGGCCCATCACTGGCGAAGCCGATTCGATGCGTGGTTGTTGTTGAGCTCGCAGTACCGTCGCAGGCGATCTCGTTTGCGGATCGCACCAACGTCTCCCTCCTCCTTCTCCTCCTCCTCCTGCGGCTGTCTCGTTCGAGCGGGGGTTAGACGACTCTGTGGTGCAGCCTTTTTTTGCACGTGCTGCTTTTACCGACGGGGTGCACGAGGTAGGCTGCTGATGATCTATACCTGTAGCGCAGCTTTGTTCGTGTATATAGATATATATATATATATATATATATATATATATATATGTATATATATTCATGTATTAAATCATATAATATCATATCCTATCCTATCATATCATATCATATCATATATATATAGCTGCATAAATACAGTAAGTACATTTTTGGCCCGGCTAGACTCCGGGCCCGGTGGGCGCTCGAGATGGGATCTTTCCTGGGGCGCGGAGTTCGTCGAGGTGTTGTGCCCCCCAGTGGGCGGGGTGGCCGCACTAGAATGCCCCCCCCCTTGCGCTGTCGTTTGGGCCCCCGGGGCGATCGAAGTGGGCACAGTCGGGCCTGGATTGTAGGTCGACCCCGCCAAGCCTGGGGTACCCTTGTGTCATGTGTGTCTCGACCCATGCCTTTCGCATTCCTAGGGGCAACGCGGCCCTCGGAAGGGTCTCGTGTCCTCTCGCGTGTCCTCTCCGATCAGGCCTCCGACTGCACGGAAAGAGCGGGTGCGAAGACCGACATCAGTTTTTGTTCATTTTGAACGGGGCTCGCTGTCCGTGCCGCCGCGGACGTTGCCCATTTCAGACAAAAAGCCGCTCGCACAACAGCGGCCGCTGTCGGTTTTGGACAACAGTTGTTGTTGGGCAGCGTACCCCTTTTCTTCGTACCCACTTGGGGCGTCCAACAAATTGAGAAGGGTGACCGCATCCCAACGCGTTCACCTGCCCATCAGAAGAGGACCTTGTGGGAGACAGTGTGCGCAAGGCGTGTGCCGTGTACCAAAGGTCGCCGGCGAGCCCGGAGGGGAAGTGAGAAGGGGCGTTTTTTTTCCAGAAGGCTCAGAAGTCCTCCGACTTTCTGAGAAGTTTTCTAAGCCTTCCCCGAAGACACAGAAAACTTTTCAGAAGGCCCGAGGGCTTCTGAGAAGTCCCGCCGCCTTCTGAGGAGGCTTTCTCCTTCTCACTTCCCCCCTTCGCTCGCCGCCCATCATGGGATACAATGTGCGCAAGGCTTGTGCCGTGTGCAAAGGGCGGGCGTCCTCTTGCCCCTCGCCGTCCCCTGGGAACTTGGCGACCCGCGCTGGCTCTGGCCGTCTGGCCGCACCGTGCGATGGCCTGCGCCGCGGGAAAGCAAAAGCGTCGGATGGGGCGGCGCTACCGCATGTCGGGGCTCGAGAGACGGGGGTCATCGCAACCGGGGGTCAGTCAGAGCGCCGGATCTTGCAGGTTCCTGCAGGGCCAGGTGCGCACTGAGTTGGGTTTGGGTGCAGGATCCTGAAATGGTGGACTGTCCTGGGTTTGGAATGACCTAGGTCAGTAGATCCCCGAACATGCGAACTCGCCCATGGAAAGGCAGTTTCCAAACTTGGAACATATATCTGTCCTTATGTTTGACATCAGCTTACCTCGTTGCCGACCATGGGGGGGTCCTCCGTTTCTGAGGGCGCATCCCCAAGATTGTCATTGAATTGGGGATGCCGGTCTTCGAGATATGGATCAGTTCGAGGCTGGTTGGTAGTCACCCCTTGTGGGGCACCCGCTTTGGTGCGTTCGTCTGCGGTGGGCTGTCACACATGCTCGTGCCACCCTGTGTGTTGGGCTGTTTGACCCTTGCTCGTGCCACCATTGCTCGTGCCGACGCCTCCTGAAGCCAGAGGACAGAGGTGGGGGTCGTTACAGACAGGGGCGCCTCCAGAAGCCCCGCTGACAAAGCAATAGCGAGTGCGAGTACGACGACGTCGACGGCGACGACCATGGGGACGACGATGACTCGGCTGCCCCTTCTTCTGCGCTTCCGCCGGCCAGCCTTGCGTGCCGCTCAAGAACCCCAAGTGCTGGAGGAGAATGTCGAAGTTGTTGATCTGAGAGGCCGTCGCCTTGCCGCCGGGCAGTTCATCGGAGTGTCATCGAGTGCAGGGGCGCTGGCCTGGTGGTCAGGGTCCCTAGCTCAGCAGGGGAGGAAGGAAGGAAGCCACTGGCACGGCATCATCTGTTGGCATATCGCTCAGTTGAAGAGGAGTAGGGACAGAGGAGAAAAGATGTATATTTCAGCGACAACGAGAACAGGGGGATGTGGAGGGCATGAGTAAGATGGACACAGGACAGAAGGGGAGGAGGAGCGGAGTAGCTATGTGGACGAGAAGGGCGAAGAGACAGCCCTTCCTCTCTCCTGGAGCAGTATGGTTTTCCGCGGCCTCCAGAAAGAGAAATATATATATATATATACAGAGAGAGAGAGAGAAGCAGAGAGAGAGAGAGAAAGAGAGAAACAAACACAAGAAAGAAGAGATCGCCCCAATAGGTGGTGGTGTCCTACCTGATATTTATCTTCCTCTGTCTCATCCTCCCTCCTTTGCCATGCTGCCTCCTCGCTTTCCCTCCCCCCTCCTTACCCCTCCCCCTCCTTTCTCGTCCTGCGCTTCCCCAGGAAGCCTCCTCTCTCCTTCTCCCCTCCTTGTCCCCTCCTTATCCCCTCCCCCTCCTTTCTCCCCCTCCTCTCTCTCCCTCTCCCCTCCCCGCGCCTCCCCCTCCTCTCTCGTCCTGCGCTTCCCCAGGGAGCCTCCGACCATGCCCAGAGCCGCCCGCACACCTCCCACCGGACGCGCGAGCGACCACCGCGAGCCGACGCGAGGCGACGACAGCGAGCCCACCGCCCCGCGGCTTTGGGGAGGGCCCGCCCGATAGAGACGTGCGAGTTCTGCTGCAGCCCCTTCCAGCACGCGTCCGGCCGCGGGCACCCCGCGTGCTTCGACGCGGAGTGGACGTACGAGCGGTGCTGCCAGACCGACTTCCAGGACGGGCCGCCCGCAGAGGTGCTCGGTCCGTCCGGCTAGGAGGAGGAGGAGGAGGAGGAGGAGGAGGAGGAGGAGGAGGAGGAGGAGGATGGCTTCGCTCGGACGTGTGCATTTTTCTTTCGGCGAGGACCATCGAGGAGCATCCTTGATCATGTGGCGGAGAAGCCACGCACGAAAAACCAGAGAAAGCACATGGGGATGGACGCTCGAGCGATGGCCAGCGTCGCAATCGGTTGCGTTCGGTCGGTTCGGTCGTTGCCTTTTGCCGCGTCGCCGCGCCCGCGATCTCGCGGCGCCGTTGCCGTTGCCGCCGCCGCCGCTTGAGCCACCGCCGCTGCTCCTTGGCCAATCGTCGGTGGCTCGAGGATGGGGTCCTGAGGTGATGGGGTCCTGGGGACGAGGTGCCTCAATCAATGAAGATCGAACCCTCGGGACCCCGCCCCTCAGGACCCCGCCCCTCAGGACCCCATTCCTCAGGACCCCGTCCCTCAGGTCCCCATCCCTCAGGACCCCATCCCGGGGGCCCCCTCCCTCAGGGCCCCATCCGTGGGACCACCGAGCTCGGTCGTTCCCGCTGCCGCGTCGCTGCGGCCGCCCGGCCGCAGGCCCCCTCCTCCTCCGCCTCGTCCTCCATCCGCCGCCCGCCCCAATGTGTCCCCAGCCCGTGGGAGCAGCATCAGCTCGTCGTGGTCGTCGTCGTCGCCGTCGCCGTCGCCGTCGTGGTCGTCGTCGTCGTCGTGGTCGTCGTCGTGGTCGTCGTGGCCGTCGTCGTGGCCGTCGTCGGAGGCGCTGCCGCCTGCGCTGGCGGCAGGCCCCCGCGGGCGGGCCGTCGCCGCGGGGGGCCTCCGTGTGCCCCTGGGGGGGGCTGCCGGAGGGGGGGCAGCGGCCGAGGCCCTCGCGTTCGGGTGTGGCTAGATGCGCCCCTTGTCGGGTATACTGTATAGCCAGGACCCCGGTTAAGCTAAGGGGAGCCAGTTAGGGATTGGGCCCGGAAGCCCAACAGATGGATTGGGCCCTCGCTTTCGGGTGTTGCTAGATGCGCCCCAATCGGGTATGGCCAGGACCCCGGTCAGGGGGAGCGGGTCAGTGATGGGGCCCCGAAGCCCACCATATGGATTGGGGAATCGCTGAGCCAGGTCTACCGTAGCTGGCGTGTTTTCGGGTGACGGCAGTTCCGGTCAGTGGAATGGGGCAGGGGAGGCGTTCCCCAGTACACATCACTAAACCAGGTCCCACTAAACCCAGTTCTGCCAACGCCCGACCCTGGCCCCTGGCTTTTCGCTCCATTCTGGAGCCTCTGGGGCCCTCTGGGCCTCGTGGAGGGTCCCCTGGAGGTCGCCCAGGCCACCCCGAGAATCCTGGGGGCACCTCGGGCCAGGGGCACTTCGAGCAACACCCGATCCCTCGACGAACACGAAGTCGGGCCTGTCCCTCTACTGGAGGAGTCTCCAAAGCTAGTCGAAAAGATAATGTGGTGCGATTGTTTGATCAGTTCTTGGCTACGTTTGAGCATTTGTCTGACTAGTTGCATTAGCTGTTGTCCAACATCCGCCTGTAAGAGGACGCGCACTCCTTCGACTAACACGGTGCGGGCCCACGATTAAGTCGAGCATGTCCCTCTACAGAAGTAAGATTCAAGAGTAGTCCAAAACTGGAATGGGGATGCTTTTTCGGATATTTCTGGCGAATTCCTGCATCTCCTGACTAAGTTTGATTTTCCGTCGAGAATCCGCCTGTAGGGGGGACACGCCCTCCCTCGACTTGCACGCGAGAGTGGCCCTTCGCCGCTGCGGGCCCGCGGGGTTCCCCCCTTGGCACTGGCCCGGCGCGCCTGGAGGTGGCCCCCCCGCGGCCCCCGTGAGGAGGTGGCCCCCGCCGCGGGGACCCCGACAGCCGCGCACCCTTCGGGGGGGAAAAAAACACACAGAGGCACAAGTGTCAGGAGGGAAGAAAGACACAGACACAATTGATCGTCGATCGTCCGGAAAATGTTGGAAAATATGGGAAGTGGGGGGGCGACAATGAAACAATAAATGAAAACATATGGGGGATCCTGTTATATGTGTGTATGTATTTTTGTGTGTCCCTGGCCCCCCTCAACAAAGGCACACACACATACACAATCACACGCACATTTTTGCGTCGGCGGCTGGGCAGAGGGTGACTGCTCCGGCGGTGGGGAGACACACACACACACACACGCGCACACAGGCACAACGAAGCGTCGACCCCCAGGGAAATGTAGGAGATCTCGGAAAGTGGTGGGGAAGACGAAGACCATGAAGATATGGGGAACTATTGGGAAACCTGGGATGTGGTGTCCATTTCTTTTTTGCCTGTCCCTGGGCCCCTTCGACCGCCGCAGAAGACTCATGTCTAGGGTTACTCTTGCGTGCAGCGCCACCCCATCCTGCCCCCGCCTGTCCTCTCCAGCTGCTGCTGCTGGTGCTCCTCCTTCCCTCGCCCCCGCCCCTCCTCGCCATGCATCAGGACCAGATCTCAGACGAGATGTTCTCGTCCAATCCGGGCGCTTCTCCTGAAGTTCAGCCTCCCGGGCCCGTGACCTGGCCCCCGGGACCAGCACACACTGATCTAGCACGAAAGCCGACGTACCTAGAGGGAAGCGGTCGGGACCTCTGGGGCCGCGGATGGAAACAATCAGGTCGGCGGATGTCAGGAGCAGGTCCTGAGGCGAAGGGGTCTTGATCGGGAGGGAACAAAAACACGCAGACCCAATGAATCGTCGATTCTCGAGAAAATATGGGAAGCTATGGGAAGTGGGGGGGCAGACATAAACCCCGAACATATAGGAAAAAATTAGGAATCCTCTTATTTGTGTGTACTTATTTTGTGTGTCCCAGGGCCCCTGCAGTCAGGAGCGGGTCCTGAGGCGAAGGGGCCTTCTTGAGGCTGCTCTGCGCTGGTGATCCTCGAGGTCCTCCACGGGCCACGGGACCGTCAGGAAACAGCTCGGGACGAAGCATTGGTCCGAGGGTAGGGTTAAGTCGGGCGTGTCCCCCTACAGGGGGATTTTCGACGAAAAATAAAACACATACCCCAACAATAGTCAACACATGGTCCAAAAATAGTCTGGGGACTATTTTTCTAGTATTTTTCTTTGCCTTTGGGGGGCATTTCGGGGGTATTGTTTCGTCGAACATCGCTCTGTAGGGGGACACGCCCGACATAAGGGTAGGGCGCCAGGATGCATGACCCGACTCCCTCAGGAACCCGCCTGCTTCATGCCAACCTCCTCGTACCTCCCTCCCTTCACGGAGGGACCTCTGAGGCTCAGATGTATCCATAACCACCTCCTGGAGGCCCGATCTTCGGGGACCCCAGCAGGCGATGGATATGAGATGCTCGTATGCATCTCCATATCCACCGCCTGCCGAGGCCCGAAATGTTGACCCCACAGGCGGTGGTTATGTACAGTTTCCCGCCTTGCCTCCAACACAAACTTTACAAAACATACGTTTTCTGATGTCCGCGCCGACCTCTTGTATCGGCGCCAGACTTGGTGCCCCGCCGCCAGTGGGGCCCACCAACCATCCAACAAGTCCGCGCGGACCTTCCACAATTTGCGCGTATGTCGACTTTTCTTCTTATGATTCAGGGGCACCGTCAGGGGGATTAGGCTCAGGGGGGACGCATCCACTCCTAATCTCACATGGATCGCCAAGGGGGGCCCAGTAGCCCACCCCGCCCAGGACCCTGCGGTTTCGTGAACGATGTATCGCCGATTCCAGCCCGATGCTCCCCCCTGACCCAGTCCCCCTCGAATGCTCCCCCTTTAATGACGCTGGCATGCTGCGCCCTCGCTGTGCTATCCGCTGGCCCGTGCCGCATTGGCTGCACCATGCCTGCGTTGCCCCGCCGACGAGGCCAGGGGACCACGGGTCCAGCGGCGGGCATAGACTTAACGCGCACAGGTTGCATTGTGAGCTGACGTTGCCTCGCCAGTCGAGTTGCTGCTGCTCGTCTCTCCTCCTGCTCCTCCTCCTCCTCCTCCTCCTGCTCCTCCTCCTCCTCCTCCTCCTCCTCCTCCTCCTCCTCCTCCTCCTCCTCCTC